CACACACACACACACACACACACACACACACACACACACACACACACACACACACAGAGCCATGCCTCCGCCCCTCAGCAGCGGGGCGTCTAACTATTACTCATGCAACTCAACACTTCGACATGAGAACATTCTTTGCTGATGATTCTCTCACCTTCTGCAGCCTGGCGGCCTTCTCCATGAACACCTGCAGCTCCGTCCTGAGCCGCTCGTTCTCCCTCATCAACATGTCGTCGCTGCTGTACGCTGCGGTGACGCTGCTGTTAGCCGCCTGAGCCTGAGCAGACGCATACCTGCTGAGAGCAGACACGACCCAGTTATTGCCACGCACCTGTCAGCCGTGAGACAGAGAGGCTCGTCTGGAGCTCCTCACTTGTTGGACTCAGAATCGGGGACCCTGCTGTGCGTGATCACCTGTGATGCTGCGAGTAGAACGGGGGAGGAGGGTCTCGGTGGTACTGCACGTGCGCCTGTGAGTGGCTGAGCATGTATTCGGGGACTCTGGCGTGGATGGGATAGTCTGGCGGTGGTCCGCGCGGCTGTGCACCCGGCTGGGCCCCCCGTCGGTCATGCTCCTCTGCAGTCGGGACATTATTTTTATAAATCTGTGGATAGCTGTGAGAAGGGGTCAACGCCAGGCCGTCTCTGTGTCCATGTCTCTCCAGAGACAGCTGCATGAGCCTCTCGCTCAGAGAGCGAGCGTGCTCTCGCTTTACATCCCACAGCCCCTCGCCCTGACCGCCCTCTGCGTCCTCATCGTGCTCCCTCTGAGAGCTCAGGTACTGGGAGTGGGCTTTGGCCTCCTCGTAGGTGGGCAGCTCCTCCCGGTGGAGCTGGTACAGGTGGCACACGGGGCTCTCGGCGTGCACGCAGTCCACCTGGTGCTCCTGGCCCTGGGGCTCCTGCCGCGTGGACGTCTGCATGAACTGGGTCTCCTCTTGGGTGAGGCTCTCCAGAGAGGAGCGGGGACTGCCCGTGCCCCCGCCGCTGCTCCCCCCACGCAGGGCCTGCTGCTGGATGGCCAGGAGCGTGCGAGTGTCCGTCAGGTTCCCGTAGCGCAGCTGCTCCTGGATGAGACGGTGCAGCACCGTTCCAGAGGAGTCCTCAGCTGTTCTCATCGCAGTCCACGAGAAAGATCAATTACTACTAAAGCAAGATGGAACAGAGTGGGCACGTGACGAATCAGTCACCTGAGGGGACAGCAAAAGTCTCCATCAATCTAAAAACTATGAGGCGCTGAGAGTAAAATAAAATAGTCAAATATGCTGCTAACACATTTTCATTTAGCTCACTGTGAGTGTAAAATTCGAACAGTTTATTTAGATCAGTGTTTCCCAAAGTTGGGGTCGGGACCCAAAGTGGGGTCCCGAAACATCAAGGTGGGGTCCTGAAAAGATTTTCTGAATTAGTTACATTTTTGCCTTAGTTGTTACAAAGGAGTGAGGTTAGTGTATTTAAAATGGATAAATGTAGTATAAAAAATATTGTTACTGTGCCCATGTTTTGTTGACCTGATACAAATGTTTATCATCCAAAAATAGCTGGGGGCACAGGTCTCTGCTACTGTTATTTTGTGGGTCAAAAACTGAACCACTGCACGTTGGTTCACAAAGTTGGGCTTGGGACCCAATTATGGGTCATGAAGCACCTTGGATAATCTCCAGAAATCAATTTAAAGGGTAATAAAATAATTGCTGATGAAAAAATAAGTAAAAATAAGTATTTATATTTATGCACAAGCTGTTTAGATTGTCAAAAAGCCTGTGTTTTTAGGGTTATTAACAACGTTTGTGTACTCAGACCAGTAATATTTGGGGTCACAAGTTTTTGCCATGGATATTTTGTGGGTCAGAAGACAAAAAGTTTGGGAACCACTGATTTAGATCACTGTTTTTATATTTTGCTCATTTTTACTGTGTTAAACTTATAAATATCAAATCCTAGAKCTAAATCTGCAAATATAAATGTTAAAGTTTACGTCGATTGAAGTATTTCGGAATGAAACACAGCCTTTGCTGTTGGTGCGCAGCTTTTGTCATGATGTCATCATCCTGCGACAAAAGCAAATGCTAACTTGCTAACAGTGCTAATGCTGCTAACGCTTTCCCTACAAGACATCAAACTTGCAGTTGCGACAGCTGTCTAAGCTCCACTTCAAACTGCCGGACCACAGATAACATCCATATTGTTAACAATGAACACATTTTGAATAATAATTACTTCTTAGCAGCATTAGCAGCTACTTTTGTCTCGGGCTGATAACGTCTTAACAAAAACCATGCACGAACAGCAAAGGCTGCGTTCCATTCTGAAATACTTGACTCTGAGACTTTGACATTTAGACTTACATACTCATATTTAGGATTTAATATATAAATATATTACTTAAATTTAAATATGTTATGAACACGTGTGTTACGCTGAGTGCTGACTCAGCTGCATTCTTTTGACTCAGCTGCATTCTTACATCCATACAATAAAAGTGATTTCTGACAAAGCCATATCCTAAAAAATATTTCCAAAGAAAGAAAAATATATAAACAAACAAATAAATAAATAAATAAATAAATAAATAAATCTTCTTTAGTTAGGTTGGAATAATGGGAATCTTCATAATCATAAATAAAAAAATGTGCACATTTAGCTATTTACTTCCTATTTGAACCATGAGTACTTAAGCGCTAACAAAAGATGCTTGATTTTTACAAAAAAAACTTTTCAACAACATGATTGACTGTTAGTTTATGCTTTCAACTAGTTAGCACAAAAGGTCAGTAAATTAGCGTTTAGTAGATTATTTCTTTGTTGTAACAATACTTTTTGACAATAAATCTTATAGCAGCACCTGATTGGCTGAACCTGGACCAAAAGCTAAAAAACAAGAGTCAATAACAGCAGATTAACTGTTTCACAGAGAAGATTTGGTTAACATTTMATGTGTGCAACCCAGAGCCTCAGCTCTACTGCTCATCCCACACATGCTTGTTCCTTACAAATGTGGCACCAGTAAAAAGAGAAATTAACAGGATTTCAAACAGTTTAGGATTTATTGCCAAGAAACACTGTTACAACAAATAACTAATCTACCAAATACCAATTTACTTATTTTTGTGCTACGTTTATTTTACAAAAATCAACTATTTTATTTATTAGCAAAGATGTTTTCAACAGTGAAATGTAAAGTATATTATTTCTAGTATTAACTGAAGTAAGTAAGACAAATACAGTATAAATAACTAAAAAAGCTTCTTTAGATCAGAATAATTTATTTTTCTATTGGTTTAATTTTTTTCATACCTGTTATTACAGGTAATTCACTTTAAATATTCAAACATAAAAAACCCACACATTTAGCACAAAATTTACATGAACTAAAACACCATTTAACCATAATATGTTGTAATAAAATCATAAGTTTACACCTTGGTTCGCAACACAAAAGCAGTCTTGTAAAAAAGCTTAAACATGTATAAATAAATATTGGGCCAACTTCATCATCACCCGCACATAAACTGCGCAATAAATTCAGTTTTTCAAAATAAAACCTAAAACTTACCCCGTCTGCGTCCCATCATACGATAAAAAAGACTTTTCCTTTAAATATTATGCGCTTAAAAACAAACAAACAAAAAAGATATACAGGCTATTAGCGAGTTTCCAGAGCTCGTGTCCTCTCCGCGGACATGTGTGCGCGAGGCGGCGGCAGCAGCGGGACTGAGCGCGTGAAGCTGCGGAGCGGATAAATAACTGAGAACCGATTGTTGGCCGCGAATGGTATGAGAGGAATGTTAAAGGCTCCGAGTCCCTGTGGGATCAAAAGCAGGAGCTGAGGAGGAAGAGGAGGAGGAGGAAGAGGAGGGGGAGGGGCTTAGTTAAAGGAAAAAAGAAAAAAGTGCAGCAGCAGCTCGATGTCAGCTGCCTGCTTCTGTCATGTAAAAGCGTTGTTTTTGTTGCGTGGGTTCAGACAATTTAAAGGGATATTTCTGCCATTTAAACTGTGGTTGTGTAGAGAAGTTGTGAAGAGTTAACATCTTACCTGTTGTGGATTGGTATAGGAACAATAACAGATATTGTGATGGGCATGGTTCTGGTAATAAGCTAATAGTGGAACTATTTTTTTAATTAGCTGATTAGCTTTTTCACTAACTTTGAAAACTSTTAGCAGACAGTTGGCTTCTGCTAAATTAGGTTTGGCCGGCCTTAAAGGGCTCGACACACGGGCAGCGACAAACTACAGCGACTAACGGCTGTCATCTGAAACCCGACACACGGGACGCGATAGCGATCACAGCGTTTTGAATCGCGCTCTCAGGTCGCTTGTCTTCACAAAATTTGATTGGTTCTCGACTCTGAAGGCGGGTCTGCGTTACGGACGTGTAAACTAAACAAATCTTGCGATGCTAATGATATTGAAAAACAAACACACATCAAGATACAGTTT